CTTGAGAGGAGCCTCCCCCCAGAGGATCCTTGTCTCCCTCTGCCCACCGACGTCTTCCTCCAGCTGATTCATCTGTGTGTGGAATCGAACTCCTTTTCCTTTGAGGGTCGCTTCTACTCCCAGACCTTCGGTGTTGCTATGGGCTCTCCCCTCTCTCTGGTCTTGGCTAACCTATTTATGGAATTCTTCTAATCTGAGCTTCTCCCTTCCATCTCCCTTCGTCCGACGGTTTGGCTGAGGTATGTCGACGACGTCTTCGCTCTCTGGCCTCATGACCCTGCCCTGTTCTCGGACTTCCTGACCCAGCTGAACTCTCTCCCCTTCCATCCGTTTCAAGGTGGAATGGGAGGCTGACAACAAGCTCCCCTTCCTGGACACCCTAGTTCATCGCTCTGATGACCATGTATGTATATACACTTCTCTTACCATCCTCTTCATGTAAAGAGGTTGCCACGTCGCTGTTCCTCCGCGCCCTCCGCATCTGCGACCCTCAGTACCTGGATGGAGAGATCGACTTTCTGCGTCGCTCGTTCTCCAAACTGGGCTACCCTCATCATGTCCTCGACGCCGCGCTATCCAGAGCACGGCGGACCTTCTACCACGAGTCCTCTCCTAAAGAGACTCCTCACCTGCCCACCCTCAGCCTGCCCTACACGGAGGAGATCCACTCTCTCCGCCGCCCTCTTCACACTCTCAATTGCAGGCTGATCTTTCGCCAGGTGAACACTCTCCATCGTAACCTGGTCCACACCAGCCCTCCCTCTTCCTCGAAGGTGGGCACCTATGCTGTTCCTTGTGGCTCCTGTGACAAGCAATACTTTGGCGAGACGGGCGCTAGTCTCACTAAGTGCTTGTCTCAACATAAGTATGCCATATCCAGGGGACACAACAACGCTCTCTTCTGCCATCAGTGGGATACAGGCCATCAGATGGACTGGTCAGCGGCGCGAATTGTCTTCTCCTCCGCTGACGTCCACGCCCGCACTGGTGGAATCTTCCTTAATAAAGCTGCTGCCCAATTTTAACTTGAACAGCGGCTTTTCTCCCGCCGACAGCCTCCTCGCTTCACACATCCTCCGCCTTCTCCCGTACGCCGGCCATCCTGCACACAATCCGCCCGACCCTCCGACCTGATCTGACCTCCCTTCGCTTCCGTCCGTCTGTCCTCACCTGCCCCGTGTCACCGCGTTCCCTGTCCTCTCTCCCTCTTATACCCCTTCCTCTCCCTTTCCTCTTCAGACCTGAGAATGGAATCCAGGTGGATTCCGAAACTGTCGTCTCACTTTCATTTTCAATAAATCTAGTTTTTACATTGTGGGTTTTTCTACCATGTTAAAACATGTTAATTCGCAACGATACTCTGGCAGAATTTATTTTGCTGGTTACAATAACAAAATTGTACAATCAATATATAAACGAAAGGTTAAAATCAGGAACTAAAACACAGACAGAAATACGGACATACAAATAAAACAATTAAGGACATTAAAAACTAACAATCCTCAAAATGATCTAAACATGGCAATTCATTAGGGTTATCTTCAGAAGGGACTAAGAGATTTGGAAGTGCTGGGACCGTAACAACACTCACCTGGGGTTCCTCCTTCACAGCATTAAAACCAGTCATGGCTGCATTCTTGGATGTTGATGAAATTAAACCGTTTTCCTCAAACTCGGGAAGTGGTGGTATCCGAAGGACTGGACACAGGAGAGGCGGCAATAGCATCCCAAGGATTGGGCACAGGTGAGGCGGCAACAGCATCCCACGGACTGGACACAGGTGAGGCAGCAACAGCATCCTAAGGACTGGGCACAGGTGAGGCAGCAACAGCATCCTAAGGACTGGACACAGGTGAGGCAGCAACAGCATCCTAAGGACTGGGCACAGGTGAGGCGGCAACAGCATCCCAAGGACTGGGCACAGGTGAGGCGGCAACAGCATCCCACGGACTGGACACAGATGAGGCGGCGGCAGTATCCGACGGATAGAACATAAAACACAATAAAACAGAAACAATAAAACAAACGGACTACAGAGCATAAAACACAATAAAACGTAAAACACAATAAAACAAAAATGAATCACAGAACATAAAACAAAAGTTGAACCATTAATCGTGACACAGTAATTAAAACCGATTGCAAAAAAATAAAAATAAAAATTGACAAAGCCAAGGAAAAAATGGACTCTGGTCAAACGTACAAAAAAAAAAAAATGCAATCCACGCAGCTGTCACCATTATTTGGTTGTATTTTTTTTAAGTTTCAAGATCTGATCCATAATAAAAAAAATAATAATAATCATAATAAAAAAAAAAAATGGCAGGTTTATGGTGGGCCGAGAAAAAACAAAGGTAAAAGTCTCCATTCATTTTAAAACAAATAACCCGAAATATAAAACGTAAACACAATTAAAACCACTAAGAACAGACAATATAAAAACTATGAAAAACTAGGAATTAAAACAAACAACTAAAATGAAAGCTAATAAAACAAACACAAATGGAAAACAAGAACACAACAAACACGAAACTGAGACAACAAAAAATAACATTAAAACGAACCATAAAAATGGCTACAAAATAAAACAAAACATAGACAGTCCAGCAAAATAAATTCAAAGGCTCATATAAACATTGCAGTTTCTTCTTAATATATTATTACCTTTGGTTTCTGTGGCCATAAACATTCACTCAACTTAACTTTCGGTTCGGTGGGTCTTGCAGCTCGAAAAGAAAAGGGCGATCCCAGAGTCCCAGCGTTAACCCTATGGCCTACTAGATTAATCTGCCCGCCACACAAGTGTATTTTATAACGTAAAACACAATAAAACAAAAATGACTCATACAACATAAAACAAAAGTTGAACCATTAATTGTGACACTGTAACTAAAACCTATTGCAAAAAAATAAAAAGAAAAATTGACAAAGTTAAAGAAAAAAGGACTCTGGAACCGTCAAACAAATGTAAAAAAAAAAACTTGCAATCCACGCAGCTGCCACCATTATTTGGGTTGTAGTGATTTTTGAAATTTCAAGATCTGATCCAGGTTTGTGGTAGGCCGGAAAAAAACAAAGGAAAAAGTCTACATTCATTTTAAAACAAACAAACAGAAATATAAAACGTAAACACAATTAAAATTACTAAAAACAGACAATATGAAAATTTCGGAATCAAAACGAAGAACTAAAATGAGAGCTAAAAAAAAAGAAAAGAAATGGATCTTGCAGCTCGGAAAGAAAAGGGCGATCCCAGAGTCCCAGCGTTAACCTTATGGCCTACTCGATTAATCTGCCCACCAGACAAAAGTCGAGAGCGGCCGAAAAAAAAAAAAAACATGGCGAACGCCTATCTTTTGCTTCTATTTTTAAATATGTTAATTCGCAACGATACTCTGGTAGAATTTATTTTGCTGGCTACAACGACAAAATAACAAAAGTGTACAATCAATATAAAAATGAGAATAAAAGTTAAAAATACGATTAACGAAAGGTTAAAATCATGAACTAAAACACAAACAGAAATACGGACAAACATACAAATAAAACAAGTAAGGACATTATAAACTAAAAACTCAACGAAATGAATCTCAATAAAACAGTAAATAAAAAATTAATTGTTAAAAAAGTGCATTTTTGGCCAGCCTTCCTTGGAGAGGCGTGCTTGGCCAAGAGATGGCGCTCCACAAATAAAGGGGTTAACCAACTTAAAAATGTTCAGATCACTACAACTACTCACGGCTACGGGAGTCCGAAGCTGCCTCATCTCATCTCATTTCATCTGCCCCTTGGCGGTTGCCGTTGGGGCGCTACAGATGACCTGTCAACCAGTCCTCTCCATCCCAGCTTCAATCCTGTCCATTCTGTGATGTCTTCCCATCTCTTCTTCTGTCTTTCTCTCTTTCTTCATCCTCTGACTCTTCCCTGGAGCACTGTCTTGGCAAGCCTCTCTCCTCTTGTTACGTGGCCGAACCATTTTAGTTTGCACCTCTTGATGGTGGTGAGATCTTCATAGGGACCAATGGCTTGCCTCATTCTGTTTTTGACTTCCTCATTGATTATGTGGTCTTTGTAAGAGATGCCAAGCAGTCTTCTGAAGTATCTCATTTCTGAGGCCGGAATCTTCTTCTCTAATTCTGCTGTAATGGTCCATGTTTCACAAGCATACAGGAAAACTGAGTAGACAAGGGAACGCATGAGTCTTATCTTTGAGTTGAGCTTGATTGCCTTGTCCTTCCAAATGCTGTTCACCTTAGCTAGTGTTGCAGCTGTCACTGCTATTCTGGCTAGTATTTTGGGCTTTGACCCCTCATCTGAAACTATTGCCCAAGGTAGTTGAAATTCTTCACGGTTTCAAGCTTTTCTCCGTTGGCAGTGATGTCAGTTTGGATTCCATTGTCATTATTTGTCATCAGTTTTGTTTTTTTTGCACTGATTTCCATGCCGTAATCTGTGGAGGATCTGTCTAGTTGCCTGACCAGGTTCTCCAGTTCTTGTTCTGAGCCTGCGAGTCCATCTATATCATCAGCAAAATGCAGGTTTGTGATTGTTCTGCCACCAATGTTGACTGTTCCTTGATAGTCTTTAAGTGCATCAGTCATAATTTTTTCAAGGAAAACAATGAAGTGTCGGCGAGAGCAAGCATCCTTGTCTCACTCCAACATGTGGTTTGGAACCAGTCTCCAATGTCCCCGTTGAGGTAAACTGCACTGCTGGTCTTGTAGAGGTTCTCTATGATGTGGATGATGTTAGCGTTGATGTTGTAGTAGTTCATGGTCGCCCATAGTACCGCATGCCACGCTCTGTCGAATGCCTTCTTGAAGTCTAAGGATATGTGGTAGAGTTCTTGTTGGTGGTGAAGGTAATTCTCGCACAGAATCCTGAGCTTGAAGATCTGCTCAGTTGTGCTGCGCCCTGCCCTGAATTCTGCCTGCTCTTCACCTATAATTGCTTCAGTCTGGGGTCTTAACCTGTTCAATATGATCCTGAGCATCACTTTGCTAGGATGGCATATCAAGGCTGATGGTGCGGTAGTTGTTGCACTGTTGTAGGTTGCCTTTCTTGGGTAGGGTGATCACTAAAGACTGGGTCCATGGTGTTGGCCACTCTCCTGTCTCCCAGATCTTCTGGCAGATTGCATGTAGCACATCGATCATGGCCTCACCACCTGCTTGCACTAGTTCTCCTGGGATGTTACAAATACCTGCTGATTTTCCTTTCTTCAGGGACTTCACTGCTTCCTCCACTTCTCTGAGGATGGGGAAACTGTTTGTCTGTTGTCAGGGGGGTGTTGAGCTTCTCTGTGTTTCCTGTTGCGCGGTATGAGTATAGATCTGCGGTGTACTCTGTTCACCTGTTCAAGATGTCTTTGGAGTAGGTCAGACACTTCCCATTTTTGTCGAGAATGGTTCTGGGCCGTCCTTGCTTGCTGCTGGTGAGGTCCTTCACTTCTTGGTAGGCCTTCTTGGCGTTGTTTGCTTGGAGGTTCTGTTCAATGACATTGCACATATCAGTAAACCAGTCTTCCTTTGCCTTGAGCATGCTCATCTTGACCTGTTTGTCAGCTTTCCTGTACTTCTCCGCTCCCTCCTCACTTTCATACTTGAACTGCTTGAGGTCTCTCCTTTCGTCACAGCTTGAGTAAGTCTGATGTGACCCAAGGCTTCTTTGTGGTCCGCTTCTTGCCGATGAAAGCGAATTTCCCTCCAATCTTGGCCTCGAAGACTTGTGCCACATCAGGATCCTCCAATTTCTTCAGATCAAACTTAATTCTGGTGTGGCCCTGTCATGAAGAGCTCATGGTCGCTGCTGATGTCCGCTCAGGGGAAGCTGCGTGTCTTGGCGATATTGACTGATGTCTGAAAGCGTTGCAGGAGGAACACTTACCTGAGGTTCCTCCTTCACAGCATTAAAACTCATGGCTGCATTGTTGGATGTTGATGAAATTAAACCTTTTTCCTCAAACTCGGGAAGTGGTGACATCCGAAGGACTGGACAGGTGAGGCGGCAACAGCATCCCGCGGACTGGACACAGGTGAGGCGGCAACAGCATCCGAAGGACTGGACACAGGTGAGGCGGCAACAGCATCCGAAGGACTGGACACGGGTGAGGCGGCAACAGCATCCGAAGGACTGGACACAGGTGAGGCGGCAACAGCATCCCACGGATAGAGCATAAAACACAATAAAACAAATAGATTACTGAACATAAAACAAAAAACGTAAAACACAGTAAAACAAAAATGAATCACACAACATAAAACAAATGTTAAACCAATAATCGTGACACAGTAACTAAAACCTATTGAAAAAAAAAATAAAAATAAAAATTGACAAAGCTAAGGAAAAATGGACTCTGGAACAGTCAAACAAACGCAGCTGCCACCATTATTTGTGTTGTACTGATTTTTGAAATTTTAAGATCTGATCCATACTAAAAAAAAAATCAAACCAAAAAAATAAATGGCAGGTTTGTGGTAGGCTGAAAAAAAACGAAATATAAAACGTAAATACAATTAAAACAACCAAGAACAAACAATATAAAAACTATGACAAACAGCTAAAATGAAACCTAAAAAAGAATGCAACAAAAAAGAAAATGAGGCAACATAAAATAATAACATTAAAACGAAAAATAAAATAAGGCTACAAAATAAAATAAATAAATAAAACGAAGACGGTCCAGCAAAATAAATTTAAAGGCTCATATAAACATAGCATTTTCTTAATACATTATTGCCTTTGGTTTCTGTGGCCATAAGCATAAAAATGTTCAGATCACTACAACTACCCACGGGCAAGGGAGTCCGAAGTTTAATATATTTTTGCCTTTGGTTTCTGTGGCCATAAACATTCACTCTACTTAACTTTCGGTTCGGTGGGTCTTGCAGCTCGAAAAGAAAAGGGCGATCCCAGAGTCCCAGCGTTAACCCTATAGCCTACTCGATTAATCTGCCCGCCACACAAAAGTCGAGAGCGGCCGAAAAAAAACAAACAAGGCGGACACTTATCTTTTCATTCTATTTTAAAACATGTTAATTCGCAACGATAAAAATAAGAATAAATAAAAGTTTTAAAATACGATAAACGAATAATTCGCAACGATACTCTGATAGAATTTATTTTGCTGGTTACAACGACAAAATAACAAAATTGTACAATAAATATAGAAATGAGAACAAAAGTAAAAAATACGATTAACGAAAGGTTAAAATCATGAAATAAAACAAATAGAAATACGGGGAAAATGAACAAAAAATGGGGGAAATGCAGTACTCATTTTTTATATTTTTGTGAAATATCTCTGTACATAGATGGCTCTGCTAGTCCTGATTTCACCTTTCCTTGAATTGGAGGGAAAAACGTATTTTTACTAGTGCTATAAATATAGATGGTGTTATTTCTAACAGCAAATTAGGATAACGTTAAATATTTTTGTAAGTCGATGAAAAAGGTGAACGGGCGAGAGAGGTAGTACTCGTAATTGGCTCATTGGATACTTAGTACAAGTGTAGCCACCTATGTGTAAAAACAATCGAACAAGTCGACTCACAGTGGGAATGGCATGTACGCACATGCCATCCCCGGCGGCAATAGGTTAAAAATGTTCAGATCACTATACTGGTGGTGGTGATGGTGCTGGCGATAGTGATGGTGATAGTGGTGGTGGTGGTGGTGGTGGTGATAGTGGTGGTGGTGGTGGTGATAGTGGTGGTGGTGGTGGTGATAGTGGTGGTGGTGGTGATAGTGGTGGTGGTGGTGGTGATAGTGGTGGTGATGGTGGAGATAGTGGTGGTGGTGGTGATAGTAATGGTGGTGGTGATAGTAATGGTGGTGGTGATAGTAATGGTGGTGGTGATAGTAGTGGTGGTGGTGATAGTGGTGAAAGTGCTGATAATGGTGGTGGTGGTGGTGATAGTAATGGTGGTGGTGGTGATAGTAATGGTGGTGGTGGTGATAGTAATGGTGGTGGTGATAGTAGTGGTGGTGGTGGTGATAGTAATGGTGGTGGTGGTGATAGTAGTGGTGGTGGTGGTGAAAGTAGTGGTGGTGGTGGTGATAGTAGTGGTGGTGGTGGTGATAGTAGTGGTGGTGGTGGTGATAGTAGTGGTGGTGGTGGTGATAGTAATGGTGGTGGTGATAGTAATGGTGGTGGTGGTGATAGTAATGGTGGTGGTGGTGATAGTAGTGGTGGTGGTGGTGATAGTAGTGGTGGTGGTGGTGATAGTAGTGGTGGTGGTGGTGATAGTAGTGGTGGTGGTGGTGATAGTAGTGGTGGTGGTGGTGATAGTAGTGGTGGTGGTGGTGATAGTAGTGGTGGTGGTGGTGATAGTAGTGGTGGTGGTGGTGATAGTAGTGGTGGTGGTGGTGATAGTAGTGGTGGTGGTGGTGATAGTAGTGGTGGTGGTAGTAATGGTGGTGGTGGTGGTGATGATGGTTATGGTGGTGATGGAGTGCACTCACCTGGGGGTTCCTCCTTCACAGCATTAAAACCAGTCATGGCTGCATTGTTGGACGTTGATGAAATTAAACCTTTTTCCACCAAACTCGGGAAGTGGTGGTAAGGTTACATCCACAGGAACAGGGTCAACATTTAGCTCAGGAAAAACATGGAACTCGTCTTCACTGAACCCAAAGTCCACTTGGCCTTGCTGTAAGTCAAAGCCATCTTCTTCAAAGTCAAAATCGGGGTTGACGACCTCTTCTATGTCAGGTGGGTTGGACACAGGTAAGGCGGCGGAGGCGGCATCCCACGGACTGGACACAGGTGAGGCGGCAGCAGCATCCCACGGACTGGACACAGGTGAGGCGGCAGCAGCATCCCACGGACTGGACACAGGTGAGGCGGCGGAGGCGGCATCCCACGGACTGGACACAGGTGAGGCGGCAGCAGCATCCCACGGACTGGACACAGGTGAGGCGGCAGCAGCATCCCACGGACTGGACACAGGTGGGCGGCGGCAACATCCGACGGATAGAGCATATAACACAATAAAACATAAAAAATAAAACATAAAACACAATAAAACAAAAAATAAAGCATAAAAAATAAAACATAAAAAACAATAAAACATAAAACACGAAACATAAAAAAACAATAAAACATAAAACACAATAAAACATAAAACACAATAAAACGTAAAACACAGTAAAACAAAAATGAATCACACAACATAAAACAAAAGTTAAACCAATAATCGTGACACACTAACAAACCGATTGCAAAAAATAAAAAAAAAATTGACAAAGCTAAGGTAAAATGGACTCTGGAACCGTCAAACAAACGTACAAAAAAAAACTGCAATCCACGCAGCTTTCACCATTATTTGGGTTGTAGTCATTTTTGAAATTTCAAGATCTGATCCATACTAAAAAAAAATAATAATCATAAAATAAATAAATGGCAGGTAAAAGTCTACATTCATTTTAAAACAAATAAACAGAAATATAAAACTAAGACAATTTAAACTACTAAGAACAGACAATATAAAAACAATTAAAAACTAGGAATTAAAACAAACAACTAAAATGAAAGCTAAAAAAAATATATATATTAAAACGAAACATAAAATAAGACTACAAAATAAAATAAAACTAACACGGTCCAGCAAAATCAATTCAAAGGCTCATATAAACATTGCATTTTCTTAATATATTTTTGCCTTTGGTTTCTGTGGCCATAAACATTCACTCTACTTAACTTTCGGTTCGGTGGGTCTTGCAGCTCGAGTCCCAGCGTTAACCCTATGGCCTACTCGATTAATCTGCCCGCCAGACAAAAGTCGAGAGCGGCCGAAAAAAAACAAAAAAACTTGGCGGACACTTATCTTTTCGTTCTATTTTTACTCGGCCCCACCCCAATCCCTTACCTGTTGTTGTCATGGGGGGGTTAGGAGGTGGAGACTGGGACCCAATAATTGGGAACTCCCCAACCTTGGGACTCAGCCCTCGACTCAACTAATTTTGCATGGTCTTTTTTCCCTTCCTACTTTTTCGTTTCTGTCCCTTCACCAACCTCTTCTACTATCCACCTCCTAAGGTGTGAGAGCCGTGCTGAAACGATGAAAGGCTGACTTTGTGCCAGTCCCGAACGGCCTGAGGGAGCCATGGGCACGGTATTTCCCTGATTTAGTTACCTAGCCCTTACCCCTCAACGGGACCCTGAGGGGCCGACTGTTTTTATCCCCTACATAATCAAGGCTTACCATGGCCAATCATGAACACCTAACTCCTCTATTAGGGGCAATGAGGCTTGCCCCTTTATCAAATAGCCCCAACGCTGCATACCCTCCCGATTCCCTGACCACAGGCTCTTCCTTTGACCACGGCTCCGAACGCTGCAACAACTACCCCCTCATCAATGCCTATTAATACAGTAGTCAACAATCAACCCCCAAGAGACATTTCCACTCTCCCAACATGCTCAACTTCAACACCTCTACCCCCACAACCTTCAACATCAACTACTCCATCCTCCCTTATTAATACCTTACACCCTTATTGCCCACCTCTCCAAAACACTACTCCCTCTTCGTCACGCCCCCGCC